CCCCCCCCCCCCCCCACCCTCTCTCTCTCTCCGCTCCTGTATGTCCATCATGATGGAAAAATGTATGATATCTTATCGATGGTGGATTGAAATTGCTGTAATGCATGTGAGCTGTGTGTGCTATGGATGGAAGGGATGATCTTGTCCTAATCGTGCGAGCTGTTTGTGGTATGTCTTTGCTGGTCCAGAACTATGCCAATGATGTTGTGGCAGCCCTCCTTGATGCATGCGTCTTCAAGGGTGTCCGTCAACCCATAATTATGACAGAGAGTGGACGGGCGCTGGGATCACACCATTCCGTGCTTGTGTTTGACGTCTTGAGTGCAAGCGAACACACAGAGGCTGCTGTCCTCAAGCATCTCAAAGTTCTGTCTGAGAATGCTTCTATGGGACTGGGCGTTTGTGATGAGAATGACGACAGCCACCCAGCCTGGATGCGTCACCCGAAGCTGCGGGCAGGAGGCATCAGCAGGAACCTGGCTCGTATGGATATGGATCCAGGGGAGTACCTCCTCTCAACATTTTATCAGGTATACAAAACAATGGGGCAGGACAACTTTCAAGAAGCCTATAATGATGCAAAGCAATTCAAGAGTGAGGCTGGGAGTCTCTTCAAGCTGGGCTGCTTGTCCCTTGAGCAGCGAGCACAGGCAGAAACTCTCTTTAAGGCGGTATGTCATCGTGTGCTTGCCTTCTCTCGTGATGAGTCCGAGATGCCGGATGACATGGAGGCACTTAGGAAGGCAATGTCAAGCGTGTACCACGTCAATCTGTCGATCTTTCGATCAGCACCAGACTCGTGGGCCATCGATCAGATCTTCCCAATCATGCCTGTCCACCGGTTAACCGAGGAGCCAACGGTTCAGGCAACTCTGGCAGATCTGACATGTGATAGTGATGGGAAGATCAATCGTTTCATTGGGTCCAATGGCGAAATCAGTCACGTTCTTCCAGTGCATGAGCTGCGTAAAGGCGAGCCCTATTATATGGCTCTGTTTTTGGGAGGCGTTTACCAGGTATGTCCACATTACGACCCTTTTTTTCTTTCTTGAAGGGGATAGCCCCTAATGTTATTATGTTTATCTGATCCCAGCAGGATTTCAAACTCATGAGCTGCCAACTAATGTTCCTATATGTGTACCTTTCAGCCACATGGGCTGTGGTTCTGTTCGACAGGATGTCTTGTCCGTTTCATTCGTTGTGCTTTCATCGGGCTCAAACATTTTCCCGAACAGTTGCTCTGTCCAAAATGTCGGTTTGTCTCCCATGGAATCCTCTCACAGGTCCTTTTCCCTAATGTTAGCCTCTCGATCACCACCTCAGTGGTAGGCTGTCCTTTCCCTCCATACTAGTGGAAAATTCCTCATTAAAGTCTTGATGGGCCCCCTCTCGAACGACTTCATCCCGCAAGTTGTAGGCTTGCACTTGTCTTTCTCCCTTATTGTAGATTAGTGATTTATTCGAAGTGGTATGTTTCCACTGATTTTCTTCCCCAGGGACAGGCTTTCTCAGTGGTCTGTTTCCTCGTTGATTCGTGCTGGGCTCAGCAGTTGGCAGCTCTGTATTGTGGTCTTCTTGTATGATATGCGGTGCAGCGAGAGGGCGAGGTGAAGCAGCTGAATGCATGTTTGATCAAACCTGCATGCAGGGTGCAGCCTCACCTTCGTTGCTACGGTGGACGTGCTGTGCCTACTTATGGACGTATTTGGTCTGGGAAGAGGGGGGGAGTTTGGGAGAAATGTGCGACAGCATCTGTCTACCATAGTTGTGGACAGCCACCTTGTGCCGTGCAGTTTATGCAGGCACTGTTCGGCAGTGCCATAGCACCTGGGAGGAGGATACGGGGTTGGACCTTGGTCTACGTGAAGAAATGGGAAAAAGGAAGTTGGGCTGAACTGATATCAGATTGTGATTTACGCGGGGGACGACTCTTCACCCATGGTACTGTTCCCTTCGGCTGAGGTATCGAATCGAGGATCTCGGGCCACATTTGTGGTTCAACCCTTAAACCACAAGCACCTGTGGCATTCTTAGGGCCCCTCTGATTCCAATTAATTTGGCCCCGGGCGGCAGGCAGATTCGTCCACCTTGTCAACGGCCTAAGAATGTGGAGGTACTGGTGGTTTAAACCACAAGTACACCGCCCAGGCAAAAGAAATTCATTGGAAATGAATTCCGAAAAGATTGGGGGGTCGGGGCAGGGTCGGCACACAAAAAAAAAAGAAGAAGAAACTGCAGCACAAAAAAAAAAGAAAGAAGAAACTGCAAATTGAGGAACGACGTCCGGGAAGGCCCTGAAGAAGGTGTGCTCACAGTACAACACTCAGGAACGAATCTAACCGCACCTATGGCTTGTATTCGGTTTTTTTTTTTTGGTTGTTGTTTTGTTTCTTCTTCTGTTTTCTTTTCGGGTCCCTGCCAGCGAGGCAGGGAGCACTGCACGGACTTCTGACGACTTGTCAAAGAGGGCATGTACTCGGATTCTGTATCTATAACCTGTTTTGCGTCCATATTGATGTTTTTTATTTTTTATTGCTTTTCATTTTTGAAAAGAACCTCCATGATGAAGGCTGGGCAGGGAACACAGCACGGACTTCTGACAACTTGTCAAAGAGGGCATATACTCAGATTCTGTATATAACCGGTTTCATGTCCATATTGGGGCTCCTTTTTTTTTTTTTCGCTTTTCATTTCTGAAAGTAACGTCCGTGATGAACGCGGAGCTGTAAATGCCCTCACTGAGGGCATACTCTCACAGTGACCCCTGATTCTGTATCCAACTGCTTTCTCATCCATAGCGATGTTTCGTTTTTTTTTTTTTTTTTTTTTTTACTTCTTTTTTCTTTTTCATGTTGTTTTTTTGGGAGGAGTATGAGAAAAGAAAATACAACCGGACCTAGGCTCGGCGAAACTCGGTGCGCAGTGAAATTCAGGTTCCTTTAAATCAGGTAATCAGGTGCGGGTGCACTTGTGGTTTACCCCCTGGTCGATTACACAAGCACCACACTTCACAGTTCGATTGCGATCTGGGAATGGTGGAACATAAGTGCTCTGTACATGAGAAATGGGCCTTTTCCATTTGTACAGCATGGGCTTTCTGGAAAGTTACTGTCCGCATTCCGTCAAAAGTGCCATTTGAGTTCTCATGTTTTTCGTATGTGCCCCTGTTGTTGTGTGGGCCCTTTTTGCTTACTCGTAGGAAATTTCTGGCAATATTTGTTTTTTGAAACTTTTTTCAAAATTTCTGGCAATTAGAATATGCGGAGAAATGCCAACGTTGAGAACCTGAACATGAAATGCTTATCCTAAAACAGTGGGTCTAACCCAGGGGGGGGGTGTGGTTTCTTAAGTAGATGGTGGATCCTTGATACTATGCTATGCTCGTATATATAAAGCCTACCATGGTGTATTTCCTGGCCTCAGCTTATGGTGCATTTGATTTCGTCTTTGTGGTTGTGAATGATGTCGCTGCAGGAGGTAATGGGCAGCCTTCACAATCTATTTGGGGCCACGAACGTTGTCCATGTCATGTCGAGGCCGAAGACTGGGTCCGCTGTCGTGAATGGCCTTGCTGGAAATGGGAAGCTTGACAGCAAGCCAACCAATCACCGGGGTGGTTACAGCATTGACCGTGTTGTGAGAGGTCAGACCATGGTCGAAGTGCTGAGGACTGTGCAGCACGTTGGTGAAGATATGATGGAAGAATTGCGGTGCGAGGCAGAAGATGCCGTCGCGGATGGGCGACTTACCATTGAAGAAGCGCAGACCCTTCTTCTGAACTATCAGCGCAGCTTGGGCTCGTATACGTATCTGACCCGCTAGGAGTGCCGTGGAGAGGGAGGTGGATTATACATCTTGGTTCTGCTGTGGGCCAATGATGCAACTACATGGATGCGATTGACGTCAGGAGAGTCGCTGACGCCATGTCTCGTTAACCGGTCCAGGTTTGGTCCACGTGTCTGTCAGATTAGACGTTCTGCGTGTGAAGTGAATGTCATCGTTGTATTGAGCAAAGGTCATTGTTGTATCGAGCAAAGGTCATCGTTGTATCGAGCGAAGGTCATCGTTGTATCGAGCAAAGCTCATCGTTGTATCGGTCGATTGTCCAGACCTGCCATGACAGGTGAGGGAGTGTGATTAAATGATCCTGTCCTGTCTGCATGGGAAACGCTCATGTGCGGTTATGCACAGGTAAGGTTGCGTCTGAGCAGGCAGGGCTGTATTATGTCCATGACCAGTTTCTATGGTTCACGCCGTTTTAGCTTTGTGGGTGTTGAGGGGTTTTGCTATGGAAGTATGTTCTGCTCATAGTCGGCGGAAGATACTTGATTGTCTATGATTTTAGCTCTCGTACCTTTTGCGAGTTAAAAGAGACAGGATCTTAACCTCTTCTTCTTCTTCTTCTTCTTCCTTTTTTTTTTTTTTTTTTTTTTTTTGAATCACACCCCCTTCAATGATGGTGGTGCTAACCTCTTGGCATGTTAGACTCCAGTTTGCAGGGATCCTAGAGAATAGGTGATGGATGGTGCACTTGTCTATATGTTGGCTCGTCTCGTGCACAGTTATCTATATGTGTCTATATGTTGGCTTGTCTCCTGCGCAGTTATCTATATGCTGGTGCCCAATTTCCACTGTCTTAAACCGCCAGCCCCACCGGCATTGAAATGTGATTTCTCGTGATACTGACTGCGGGCAGGCCGTGGGGGGAAGGTCCCAGCGGAGATTCCTGAGTACATGGTCTTCGGAGGTTTTTCTTGCTCAAAATTGTGTGTAGAAAATCCTGAAAGAAATCAGCGGCACAGATCTGGTGCTGATCCTTTTTTTGGGGGGGGAAATATTAAAAAAATCAGAAGAATTCAAAATATTTTTTTGATGGGGAAAAAGAAGCTTCTGGTTTGACGTTTGCTTTTTCTTTGGCCTGCTGCTGCTACTGGCAGTCCGATTTTTTAATGTATTTTGGGAACTACTGGTTCAAAAAGGTGAAGTGCTGCGGAAAACACAGAAAATGGCGATACCAGTTAAATAAAGGATACCTTAAGTTGACGAAATTGGTGTTTTGTGAGCGGGTGGGAGATCCAGTGGAGGCCAGTGGTAGTCTGTTTGTTTTGGATGTGCTTCAGGCATCTGATGTCATGCTTTGGCGTATTGTTGTCTGACACGCGAATGAGTGAGGCCCTGTCTTTGTGATGTTCTCTAGGATTTGCAGCCTCATTTCTTTGTTGCATTGGTTTCTATCGTCTTAGTCATTCCAATGTACTGGGCAAAGCTGTTCAGGGCAACTGGCTTTCTCTGTGATAGAATGGTTGCCTGATGTTGGAGAGGTGAGAGAAGGAGAGGAAGAAGCCGGAAAGTGTTATCTATCCTATGACAAGGGTTAAGCGGAATGAGTTGGGGGAAGGAGATGGCGAGGAAAGGGGCTCAAGGGCCAACAGTCTACCTCTCTGAGGCTCGAATCGAATCGTTACCTCACGTCTCACAACTTCAATCCACTCTTGAGTCGTATCTCCCTGCTTCAAATCCATCGACGTTCTGGCCACTGCTGTCTCCACGCCTCCCTTGCAAATATTTATAGAGACAGTTAGCAGACAGACATCTGCAGGACTACCATCCTTCAGCGAAAACAAAGCACCCTGTCTGAATGTATACAAGGTGACTTTCCAGTCAAGTGCAGCCAAAGTGAGGGTGCATTGTGTATGGGGGAAGACAGAGCCAACACTTGCCCTCAAGAACCTTCTGTGTAATCATCTTTTCCTCCAAGCAATGAGAAATGGTTGGCTCAGCAACCCCTTGACGGTACACACCACCTCACCTCCATCCTCGATATAGGGTACTTGCTCTGTTGTTTTGCCACTAGCAGATGACCCATCTTTCTTAGGAGAAGTGTCCCTATCTTGTGCCTAACATAATATGCTGTCATAATACATTTCCATCCTTCGCTGCTAGCACTTCATATTCGTAGCCCGGTTTAGTTTAGAGTGTTTGATAGCATACATTTTTCCGATGGGGTAGGTATGTAAGACCAGGAGAAGTATGGAAATGTAGCATCCATGGGAAAATGTGTGCCACTAATATTGGAAATTTTGGTCACGTAGATCTTGTATTTTGCCTAAATTTGTCGGTTACTATGCACAAGTTTATAACGGAAAATATTTTGTTGGTTTTGCAGATTACCTTTTTGGTTACTTGCGGCAGATTGTTTACTTTTAGGCTGGATTGGATGTCAACCTGGTGGCGCTTAGCGCCTTGTGGGTTCGAGTCCCAAAGTGCTAGCATAGTTCTATAGACCAGGAGAAGTATAGACATGTAGCACACATGGATGTGGGTGCTACATTCACCGAGTTCTGGGTAGTTCTGTAGAACCACGTGTCTACACGCGGAATTATGGAAATATAGCATCCATGGACTAGAAGTAGAAAAATAGATCCATGGATTTTTTAGGGATTGATGTGAGGGATTCTGATTCAACTTCGTGAACCCCAGGTGGTAGGAATGTAAGGCCAGGAGGGCCCATGACGCATGATGGAAGGCTGGCCAGGAGGGCCCATGATGCATGATGGAAGGCTGGCCAGGAGGGCCCATGATGCATGATGGAAGGCTGGCTAGCACCCCTGACTGTTCTCCAAAGTGTCTGGTCCGGGCCCTTTTAATGAAGGAGAAGGGCTGGCACTGGAAGAAAAGAAGGAAAAAGCCCTTGAGATACTGGGCCTCGGCGCGTCACTCGCCAAACAGTAAAATGGGAATGATCCTTTGGTCCGAACACCAAAAGATACACCCCTCTACTTTTTTCTCTTCTCTTTTTCACACTTACTCTGTGGTACCCTATAACACCCATCATTAGTTTGGTTTCCCTTTACTTTTAGCGGTTACGTGGCCAGTAGTTTCTCAGCCCCATTCTCCGGCAGATCATTGATAGATGCTGGAAAAAAGATGCTGCTTATCAGTCGGCCCATCTCACAGATGGGCACACTCCAGTTGGGACGGGAACTCTAAGAGAATGTTGCAGACGTAGTTAGTTCGCACAACAGCCACTACATTCTTCTGAGTACAACGTACGGTCATTATAGCTGAATTTGGGTCATCTTTCAGTCTAGATTCAGCTATAACGACCGTGCGTTGTATTCGGGGGAAGACTGTAGGCAAGTGTGCACGCTGCAACCTGGCCGTCCACATACACTGGCCAGGGTTGAACCGTACCTACTTGCTACCTTTTGGTGTTCGGACTGTAAATTCATTCTCGTTACTTTCTGGTGAGTGATGTGGAGGGGCCTGTTTTTTTTTTCGTTCTTTTCATTTTGTCATTTTTGCTTTTTCAAGCCCTTTTGGGGATTGTGGCTGTGCCCTCGCCACACCGCTCGGCAAATGCACAGAATGGGAATGAACCTTCTGCTAGAACATGGAAATGTAGTTTGTACACTGCCATAGTCTCTGTTCTGTGAGGGGCGTGGCGAGGTCCTGTTTTATCACATTTGCTGATGGCATTTTAAATGCGCATTCATTTTCTTGAGCAGTGCCGAAGGGATTTGCCATTCTGCTCTATGATGCCTGGAAAAGGATTAGGCAGGTACGAGCTGCATGTAAACAGGTGTGCAGATGCTGTCTCTCTCTCTCTCTCTCTCTCTCTCTCTCTGCCTTTCTGTGTCTTCCCGTGGTTTTGTGCCTGAAGATATGGAGAGTATTAACACCCAGCGGAGTCTGCGCCCAAATGGAAATAGGCGAGTTCGTGCGGCTGCTGAAGTGCACCCTCTCTTCCTCCCTCCCCCTCTCCCTGTCTCCGTTCCCTCTCTCAGTGGTGTTGTGTATGAAGAGGTGGATAGTTCTACAAATCCATCCCAAAAACAAAATAGGTGCGCTGGGTGTGCCCAAAACAAAATAGGCGCAATCGCCTGGGTGAAATGCAACCTCTCTCTCTCTCTCTCTCTCTCTCTCTCTCTCTCTCTCTCTCTCTCTCTCTCTCTCTCTACATCCCTCCTTCCCTCCCTCCCTCCATCCATGCATTTATTTAGGGCTGCAACTTCATCTTTTGTGGGGTTTATATCTTGCAAGTGGGGCAGGAGTTGCCCTGTAATCTGAAGTAGGCATGGACAATGCCCGATAATGCAGTGAATGCCGAGAGGCAGGGGAAGAAGGGACACAGGGGGGGGTCAAGTCCCTTGTCAGGCAGGCAGGAATAGGACGCCATTGAAATCTTGAGGTTGGATTAGCAGGAGAAGGACGAAGGGGGAGGGGGAGGATGGGGGATTAGGAGAGGGTCAGTATTTGGTCGGTCAGGATCAGATGTGATGATGGGGGAACACACTGGGATAAGGTGAATGATGCAAGGTAAGGTTGCTGACGTGAAGGAGGTTGTGGAGACGGAAGACGGCAAGGTAAGTTTGCCGAGGTGAAGGAGGTTGTGAACGGGGAAGATGGTAAGGACCCAATCAGGATGTAGGTTGGGGACCCAATTTGTGAATAAGGGGATGGGCAGCGCAGAGGTAGAGAGGAAAGGGCATGCAGGTTTGCAAGGGCCACATGGAGTTCTAGGGCAGCAGGAGTCGAAAGAGGATCCAGAGAAGAGAAAGACATGGGAGAACAGTGGGAAAAGAGGTGACACAGAACAAGGAGAGAAGAGGATGTGTGTTGCTGGGAGGAAGATCGGGAGGGGGGGATGGAGGGCACAAGTTGAAAAAGTGAAGGAAGGAGGGGAAACATTCGGGCTGGTAGAGAATGTGTGTCTGTGTGTGTGTGTGTGTGTGTGTGTGTGTGTGCGTGTGTGTGTGTGTGTGTGTGAAAGAGAGAGAGAGGGGGGGGGGGGAGGGGATGAGGGGGCATTGACTATTGTTGATGACGAGACACCCCCTCGAGAGAGAGGGATGGAAAGGGGAGAACAGCAAGAGAATGGGAAAGTGAGGGAGGAAAAGATGCCGTTATGGACATGGCAGAGAGAGAGGGAAGGGGGGGCACATGAGAGGGAAGATGCACCCCCTGGAGCAAGAGAGGGATGGAACGGGGAGAATGGCAAGAGAATCTGCGGACGTGAGGGAGGACAAGATGGCGAGAGGGACACGACAGAGAGAGATCTCAGAGTGAGGCAGGCTTGTCTGCACTGAAGTCCTGCCCTAGATGAATCTAAAATTTAGAATCTACAAGTCAGCAGGCGCGCTGCGACAATGCCGTGGCAGGGCAGGCATTTTTTTTGTCAGTTGTGCAAGTCTTGCAAACAGACCAGAAGTGAGAATGCAGTGATGTATTGATGAGGCATTGGTGGAAATGAAATGGGGATTGGGGAGAAAGGAGGGTACATACCTGGAGAGAGGGTGGCGTTCATATTCATAGCAGCGAATATTGGTGGTTGTCATGGCATGGCAGGGCAGGTGATGGCAAATTATTTTTCGCAGCACAAATGGCCCTAAGAAATTAAAGACGGGAAAACAACAGAAAAAAAAAGGAAAATAGGGCAGCGAAGTGGGTTGTGTGGGGCGGAGAAGAAAGAGAAAGAGGACAACAACGTTTGTTTCTCACGCTTGGGAATGAATTTGTACAGGAGTCTTGTGTAATCAGAACTTTACAGACTGCTGTTTCATCTCACCAATGGAGTGAGGGAGTCAGTTTGATGGATGTTTGTCATCATCAGGGAATTCATGGCCACTCTTGTATCTCCTCTCTCTCTTTCTGTTTGTTTTTCTGTGTCTCTAACAGCAGCTGTATGTGGCAGTTAGAGCAGCAAATATTATTGGTTGTCATTCTCGGTTGTTCTTTCTTTCTCTCTTTCTATTTTTCCCTTTCTCCGTCTCCTTCCCTCTCTCTCACTCTGTCTTTCTCTCTCTCTCTCTCTCTCTCTCTCTCTCTCTCTCTCTCTCTCTCTCTCTCTTTGTTCGGCTGTGTCAGGGTGATGAATGAAAACTCAGCGTGCTTGCCGTCTAGAAGGAGATGTTTGGCTGGTTCTATCAGCAGAAATATGATCTGGATCCGAGACATCTTTTTCCTTGTTTGCGATGATGTGTTGCTTGGTAGTTATTGGTGTCTTTACGACAGATGGCGATAGTTAGAATATGGCATTTCAGCAGGACTGTCGCCATCGTAGTAGATCTTGATGAGGTCGTCAATGTATTGCCAAGTGTGTCGTTGTGAGTGGATCATGGAGTGCTTAGGAGTGGTGAGTGGTGAGGATGTTGTAAATCTGAGTGAGAGATCGGGTTGTACCAAATCGCCTGAGTGGATGCCACCAATTGCTTGCCGTGAGCAGACCAGCAGTGCAGGTTGGGGGTGTTGTGCAAGGAGGGATGTGTGGAAAGCGATTCGGTTGATAGCATCGATTATCCGACCGTTTTTGTATGTGGCGAGATCATGAGTTGCACCATGAGTGTGTAGAAGCGAGTTGTAGAGTAGGCGGTGTAACTAGTCTTCCATGTTGACGTAATTTGTATAGGGATGGGTTCCCGGGAGCGGTTTTTGGCTTTTTGTTCTCATTGCTGGCCTTAGGTTTCAAAGAGAGAGAAGATGAGTGGTGAGCAGGCGGATGAGATCTTTGACATTTGTTGCTGTCAACACAGCTCTCCATGCAGTCCATTGTGCAGGATCATCGGGGGATGGGATGAATTTGCTGTCAAGAAGAGTTGGTTGACAAGGAGATGAGGGTGATGGTGCAGTACGAATCAGA